AGTAGCAGTAGCAGTAGCAGTAGCAGTAGCAGTAGGAGTAGTAGTAGCAGTCGTCGTCGTCGTCGTCGTCGTCGTCGTCGTCCCCACCGGATGTCACAGCAATCTGCAATCCACACAATAGGACTGTACAGTTTTCTCAGATATTCTCCAATCGTTTCTACTTGTTGTAGTAGTGCTCCTAGTTGCTACCACTTCCAAGAACAGTATCAGGCTACAGGCGACGGCGTTCTTCCATACGGATACTAACTGCTACTGTCACCACGGTATTGCCCCAAACTCACTACTACACTACAAGACATCACTAGGAGGAGTGCCGACTCCTGCTTCCCCATGTGCGGCTGTTGGGGGTTCTCCCGGGCCCTTGGCTCGATGTTTAGGGTTTAGGGTCTGTAACCACAAATCATAAACACAGACTGAATGAATGAAGCAAACTCGCAACCTCCCCGGAACTACCCATAAAAGCATTGTTGAACGTGCTCGCGACCCCTCTTGCCGACAACCCCTATACCCAAAAACCTCCAAGGCACACCAGAAGCCTCAAACCCCATCTCCTGCCTGGCTTCCGGATCGGCATGCCGGCCTTGTCCGTGGACGCCTTGCCGCGAACTTCCGAGCTTGCGAAAGGGGCTTCGGATTTCGGGAGAAGGGCTTGCTGAACTTGCTGTCTTTGTCCTTGCTGTTCTGAAGAGGATCCACTACCTACAGGGGATTTGGTGCTCCATTAGGATCTCGGGGCTTCCGGAGGTGTAAGGCTTTCAGGGTCCAAGTTTGGGACCTGCTAGCTACCGCTGATGGTTCGCAAGACCGTGGAGCGGGGACCGTACATCCCGAACTCTAACTCCCAAGCACTTTAGCAGCTTATATCGTGAGAGCCGTCCCCTAAACCCTAAACCCTAAACCCTGAACCCTAAACCCCGAATGCCTCCACCAGGAACAGAACCTCGTCAATGAGATCCGCGAAGTCAACCTGGGGCTGAGGGTTTAGGGCGGCTTCGGCGCAGCTCACAGGATTTCCAACTTGAAATATCGGCTGCTCCTCTTCCCTACTACTCCTGCTACTCATACTACTCCTACTACTCCTGCTGCTCCTACTGCTCCCACTGCTCCTACTACTCCTACTACTCCTACTCCTGCTCCTGTTCCTACTCCGACTCCTACTCCCACTCCTCCGCGTACGATTTTTACTAACTACTATATACTACTCCTCCTACTACTAGCCCTTACTCCTAGGCGATACTCTTCGTACTCTTCATGCTGTTTTCTGGTTCCCAGTTAAGGCTATAGAAAAGTGATCATGTTTAATCCTTGCCGGGTTTTTGTTAAACCAGAAATGTAAAAGTGTACCCAACAAGGACCCAGTTTTTGGCATCTTGCCCAGCAGCCGGCTCTGGATCTGCTGGCTCCAGAGTCCGCACCCGACGCACATTCTGGAGCTGGTCCTGCGATTACGTGCACGGTCCGAGGGCTTCAGGGCTTTTAGGGTTTAAGGTTTAGGGTGTCAGAGGAACCCATGAACAGGTACATACTGGCCCAAGTAACCTAGCACGAGGCGCGTGGGTGTAGCACTAAGTCTTAACTAAGTCTTGTTGCGTTGATAAAGCTGAGACTTTCGCAGCACAACAAACTGGCATTGGATACTACTGCATTTGACGCCTCATGTTGAACTAGAAGGCAATCACGCCAATCTCGAAACCCCTGTAGCTGGCGTCTCCATGTAAGTCTGTGACAGCCGTGGAAACTAGTATGCCTGGCCCCGCCAAGAAATGCAAAGCCCCGAGTCGCAGCCCAATGGACACCGGGAATCCTACCATGGGCCCCCGTCCCAAACCTAAAGCGGTGAAGCTCTCTCTCCGGGTCCAGCATCTGATGCGCTGCACTCAAGAGGCAATTCAGCCTCAAGGATGCGGACTAGAAACAACACTGCTGCTGTTGCCACCGATCACAACCCTGACTGCTGCTCTTGCAGCTTCATCAGCAATAGCAGTAGTAGTACTACAAGTAGTAGAACGAGTAGTAGTACCAGTAGTACTTAGTAGTACAAATAGTAGTACAAGTAGCACTCCGAGTAGTAGTAGTAGTAGTCGTCGTCGTCGTCGTAGTAGTCGTCGTCGTCGTCGTCGTCGTCGTCGACGTAGTAGTAGTAGTAGTAGTAGTAGTAGTAGTAGTAGTAGTAGTAGTAATAGTAGTAGTAGTAG